CAGCAAATTGTGGGGTGGCTGCAGCCCTCCCCAATAGCCCCCTTCCCAGCACCACCACCACCCACCCTGAGCGTAGCCCTGCCCAGCCCCCTGCTGGGAAGAGCTTGGCACCGCCCTGGCCCCAACCCCCAGCAGCAGCCTGCCCTTGCCCCCACACAGATCCAGGGGCACACGCCCCCCCATGCCCTCCCGGGGTGCTACCCCCCACCATGGCCCCCTAGACGAGCTGCTCATAGCTTTGTCCCTTGCTCTCCCTGCCCCAGCTGGGCAGCACCTACCCCAGCCCTAGTCCCTCCCTCACCGCAGGTGCCCTGATTTGCACCCCCCACCATACCCCTTCCCCCACAACAGACTTACCAGCTGGTTGCTGCTCTCCACACTCCAGGGCTTCATATTGGAAATCAAATCAGTATTGGCCAATATGGCTCATTAAAAATAGATCATGGGTACTGGCCCAAAAAATCTCTATCAGTGCACCCCTAATTTTATCTCCTTTATTAAAGTCTTAACGGAGCTCATTCTTTGCTTTTTTGCGTATATATTTTGAGCACAAAACTAAATGCACCCAAGGGAAAGGGTCCTCCCCTTTTTTCCTACCAATTGATGGGAGAGAATTACTTTCTTAATTCTCCCTTATGGAGTTTCCTTGTCAGGCACCCTCTAGGCACAACCAACAGGTCTCCACTCAAGTTTTCTCTCATCTCTTGACTGCTGGCCATCCCCAAATCCTGTTCCTCTACCATTCATTGTTTTTGGCTCCATCCTCTCCCCAAAGGGATGCTGGCTCTGTCCTCTCTTCCACTATCCCCTGTACCAAGTACAACAGCTGCTTGGTGAAAAGGGCAGGCTGAATATATGTCTGATATGAAGCCCTCAAGGATATGCTCTCTAAACACCCCTTTCTGGTGTTAATAAACCCTGTGGAAGTCAGTGGTATTCTGTAGCTGTCATACACTACTGCAAGTTGTTCAGCTATCATTCTCAAGGCAAAAGTCATAGCACGTGACAATATAAGTAGAGTAGTAGACAAAGTAAGTAGCAAAGATTGCAGAAATCATGGCACTTGGAATAAATTCGTAAGAACTACTAATCATGAAAGTGAAGCATTTGGCATTTTTACCCTAAAGGCTAGATACTTTTAATAGTTTATGTTTACATCACTGTTACTCACAAACAGCAAATGTTGAAGAAAACCTCAAAATGCTCAGTGCAAAATCATTATTTCAGGATTTCAGGGGACCATGGTTCTTTTTTATCAAAGATGTGACTAACTTAAATATTTCTGTATTTGTTACTTTGGCTTTTAAAGAATTAATGCTCAGAAAATTCCAGAAAAATTTCATGTGTCTTGTAATGGAAAAACACTACTTCTGAAGCTTTAAGTATTTGGATAGAAGAGTAAGATTTTTTTTGTTTTTGTCAGTTATACTTTATTTTTCAGGTTTCATTATACACTGCAATTAAAGTTGAAAAACAACAAGAATTCAATAATTTCATATAATAAAAATAGTCAAGTTATTTCCTTACTGTTTTAAGTTCCTGACGCAGCTGTTGATTTAAATTTGTTGATTCTTCTAAACGAGCTTCCAAAGCAGCAATTTTTTCTTCTTTTATTTCAAGAGACTTTTTTAGGGTAGACTCTAATTTTGACTCCAAAAGCTTGTACCTACTACTCAATGAAATATGAAGATGTACTTTTTATTGACACTTCAACAAACATAAAATTTGAAACATTTACATATACATGTTAGATTCCAGTGTAATGTTCTTGAAAGATTTTGGAGAAACTAGGTTAGTTTTGGAAGACGACTATTTGTCTGCAGATACAACACAGACAGCAGCAGAGTAGGTTTCCCTGAATCCTTGTCAAAATGCTTCAATGCTGACTTGGAAGACCAGTATAGAAATGAAAATAGGTAAGAATGCAAAGGCATAGCAGGACAGCTTCATGCCCAGAGCAGTGTGGGATGCCATGGTGCTAATGGCAGTGGCACAGTCAGTTGTTACTGCTGCCCCAGCTATTTTTGCATCCCACCCCTCCCAAAAGGCAGCACCTGGGGTTGCAGTCCTGGTCAGCCCCCTCAGGCTATTGTAAGGTTTCACATCATTTTGGTCCTTAGAATGTCTGATAAAACTGCAAAGATACACTTCCATTTGACCTGGGCTGTATTTGACCAAATGTTACCAGGTGCATTATTACCAATACTCCAGTCCTCTAATTCTCTTCTTTAGATATTTAAGTGATCACTGTAAAGCTGTAAATCCTTTAAAATGTTATTCTCTTTCAAAATAAATTTCCTTGATATAGAAAAAGTTGCAACATCTACAGAATCAACAGCAATATACGTATCAGTATATTGGCTTTGTTTGGGTCTTTAGTGTGCATGTAATTATAGCACTTTTTCTGTTGGCTCCATTTCAAAGAGTCAAGCAGGAGACTGAACTTGATTAAAGTAAGAAATATTTGGAAGGTAAGATTCTCATCAGTTTCCTTTTCCTGCTTGTTCATAAAACAGAGGTTCAACAGAAGAGGAGGAAGACTACACTATGCAGGTGCATGCTCATTTCATGTACCTGCTCCCAATGAGGAAATAGCATACTGAGTCCAGTTCCTGCTATTTTAAAAGATTCTGTTTCAATGTCTAGTACTGACCTTTTTGGAGGGTGTTATTAACAGTATTTACTATATCACAGAGCATGGTGAAAAAAATATATTTATTTTAAGGGACAGTGTTAGATTCTGAATATGTGGACTTGAAACAACATCTCGAGACTGTCAATGCAAGATGATCTTAAATAATTAACAGCCATTTCAGTAAATATTAAAATATCACTTCATAAATGCCTTTTAAGTCGTTTAAGCATTTTATTTATTCTCTTATTTTACATGCTCTCAGAACTTGGAAAAAGTCTCTTTCCTTACTATTTTTATATCTTAGATATTTCTATTAATCCCAAAGGTAAGGAAAAACTAAACACATTTTAGCCTCCAATCTCATCTCCTGAAAAGCATACTAGGTTTATTAACCCAGCCCAAGTGTTTAAGGTCCACTACCACGCACGAGATTCTTGAATGCATAACAGGTGTCTAGACCAGTGGGGTTTTCAGCCCATGTGGCTGCATGCAGCCCAAACAGCATACTGTTGCAGCCCATTTGACATCCTGTTAAAACATTTTTTAAATGGATATACAAGAAATAAATTGTGTGCTTGATGCCCACATAACACACTGAAAGCTACAAGTGTGGCCCGCTATGGCAAATAGGTTGATATCCACCGGTCTAAACAGTAACTGGAACAGAGGACCATCAGTGAAAGGATTAGAAAGAAGATACAGTTGCCTTAAAATATCATCATCATGTGAGTGGGAGATCATCCCAGAATTTCAGATTTGACTAGGGATTTCAGGATGAGCACACACCTGGCAAACACTAAGCAGGTAATCACCACACCATGGATGAAAGGTCATTTTAACTTCTTGTACAGAAGCACATGTGAAGACAATACTAGGGTATATAGAGAAGGAACACAGCAAAGATTAGTAATAGAGATTTATTTTCTGGATTCAAAGAACTGTCTGGTTATGAAATAAACTTTGAAGAATCTTAAACAGAATGTGTGAAGAAGGACAGATCTACTTTTTCTAAAGAATCTAACACCAAGAGTTTGAAAAGCAAAGCAACAAACTGAAAAAAATGTAATGTCCTCCTTATCAGACTATGTCAGGTCAGGCCTAGGAAGAGGGAAAGATTTTAAGATACTGCTAAGAATGTTCAGAAGAAAAAAAACCACGTCTACTCCTGTACATTCCCGGGGAGGAGATATGTTAGATGTTAGTGAAATATCTTCCATCTCTATACGAAAATGAAGAGCCAGGCCAGGAATGCACAGAAACAGAAAACAGCTCATGTATAAAAAACTAGCATTCCCTAAGCTTGGTAAGAATTGGGCATGCCTACCAATAAAGGCTGAATAAAGAATGATGACTGTGCCCTTCTGCTCTACCAGAAGACAGCAAAAGCAGAAGTTGAGAATAATGAACACAAGTTATGACAGTTTTAGAAATTATGTTCCTGAACAAGCCAATATCTCTGTTAAGTAAAACAAACATTCCTCATTTATAGGTTTTCAGCATCTTAGAAAAGGGATGCCAGCTAGCCCACAGTGTATATGGCCTTCAATAGCATATTTTCTTGGGCAACAGCTCTCATAACTACCTAAAAGAATTCAGAAGCAAGGGAAGCAATGGAAGACCTTGGTACAGCAATATATGTGTCATTAATGTATTGTGCACCCCTGAAATAATGAAATCTTAGTTAACCAACAATGTTGGCTAAGAAACAGAACCCAACTCAGAAGTCTCTATACGTGGCCTAATGATAGATGATGTTAATACACAGCCTCTACTATGTCACAGACAGACAGGCTTCTTCTCTCTAAGGAAGCTCAGCTCAAGTGTTCAAAGTCCACAACAGCTCACATCCTCATTACAGAACACTACTTGTAATAATGTCATTGAAAAAGCCATCTACAGAGATTGAACTCAGGCTTCTACAACAAAAAGCACGAGTGTTCCCTGTGTCTTGCTAAGGGACCAGGCCCTTTTCCTCTCATCCTGGAGGGGAACAGAGATTCACACTGTGTAACCATGAATTAACTCTTAACACTGTGTTAGCATGAATTGCTCTACAGGATTCAGCACTGATCATGAACGCTGACGAAAAAATCTTAGGTCTAAATACTCTTCTGGCTAAGGAAATAATTTCCACCTTGGGAAAGCAGGCTGAGGACAGATACTGCTAGAAAACAAAAAGTACTGGGAGATTTCTCCAGAGGTGCAGACATTATCCAGCAACAGACCACTGGCAGTAGGCAGAGGGAATGAAGATAAAATATCTGGCTGCCTTCTGGAGAGAAGGCCCAGAATCTTAAAAAAAAAAAAAATCACTAAAAGGCTCGGAATTTGTCCCCACATTTATGCCAATCAGTAATAATCACAGACTACTATACCAGCCATTTTTTCACAAATGAATGGCATCATGAAAGAAGGGCTGGCTAGAAGCCCATGCTAAGTCTTTTCCTGACATTCAGTTTCCCTGAACCTCAGTCAAACAGAACACAACACGGAACAGAGCACAGGAAACAGATGTCAGGATCTCAGCTGTTGTATATTAGCAGGTGTGGTACAGTGACAAGAGACAGTGTGGGGATTGGGAGAGGCTCAAAATATTGGCTACTAGCCAGCCCACACAAGTGGGGATGTTGAGAGAAGCATGGATAATCTTACAGTGACAAAAATCCTAAAGTTTGAAGTACTCAAAATACTGAGCCTATTAACATTTAAAACAACTCTGTCTTTTGTTCTTACTGCTGACTAGAAATTTCAGAATGTGAGCAATCACACAAACAGTAGCTGTTGCCATACATTTCTGTATTTCTTAGCACCAACATGGCAATTTACTTTCAAAGACATAGATATGTGGAATCTGGGGGCACTTATACATGTGCAACTAGGCTGCTCTGACATGCTGTAATTACATCACGTCACAGCAGACTAGATTAACCAAGTCTGCTGGAGTGTGATAGTCCAGAGGACTCCAATGTCACATGTATTAGCATCCCTGCACTGAAAAATGGCAGCAGGGGTGGCTGCTTTAATTAAAGCTTAGTTGATAAGCTTCAGTTAAAAATGCCCCCACTGCCAGTTTTCAGCACAGGGACACTTATACACATGACACTCCAAGCACTTAAAGCAGTTTTTGGAGCCACCCTAATTAAAGTGCTCCTTCTCTACCACCTCCTCCCCGCACCCCACTCCTGGATCACATCTATAAATGCCTTGGAGGATATTTATTACCACAACATGTTACTTTCAAAGACAGTCTGTCTTCTAACTTATTGACATTTTCTCAAAAATTACAATTTAGGGAGAAAATTGCTGAAGGAAAAACAGAATATTCTATTATTGCAAACAAAACTGAACTATCCCACAAAGGTTGATTCACTCTCACCTGTCATCAGTGCTTTGTTCATCATGCAAGAGGCGCTCTTTATTTAAGCCTATCTTTTCAAGTTCATGGGTAAGTTTTTCTAGATCATTATTCATTTGCTGTGTCTTCAGCTTTTCACTCACCAAATCCTTACACAAGAGAAATAAGAATCAATAAAGAGAAATTAAACTGAAAAAAAGAATAATACAACACTAGTTTCTGGGGACTATCTATATCTGAGCTTTGTATACGTATATGTAGCTTGCATAATCTGGTAAAGTTAACTTTGTTATTCCGCACAACTACAACTTTTGATTAAATACAAGTATGATTTCATCATAGGGGTTTACTTCCTTTCTTTTAGTAGGAATTCCCTTCTAAACTTTGTTGGATCATTAGAAAAAAAATAAATAGCAAAGTATGTGAGAGGCAAGGATTTTTATGGATGCTATCTTTCATGGGACCAGCTGTATGGTTGGGATAGACTTAGACAAGCTTTTGAATTCAATGTATTCTTCTTCAGGTCTGAGCGAAAAGCAGGCACAGTGAAAAATTTTAATCTTTTGGTATGCCTGTTTTTCACTGTACCTGCAGCAGATCCATTAAAAGATATCACTCACAAAAATCCTTGCCTCTCGCATATTTCCTGGATGATCATGGGTACATAATGTAAACCCTATCAAGTAGCAAACTAACCTTTTAGTCAGAGTAGGTACTTAACTAAGAGTCTGTGAAAGGTCCCCTAACAACACAAATAATACCTATGTAGGCTTTATAAGCAATATGAGAGATTAATAATGCTGAAGTTAAATGATTAATGAATACAGTATGGAAGATCTTCATTATCATTAGAAGTTGTTTATAACTATTGATAGTATACATGCTATTGATTTAAACATATGAACAAGATAGGAAAATGCTTTTTTAGAAATTACTAGTAGTACCTTTTCCTCTGTTATAAGTAGCTTAATACAAGAATGGAAATCAATTGCAAATTACCTCTCGCAGTGTGACAAGGGTTTTCTTATCAATGGTAGCTCTTTTCACAAGTTCTTTATTTTCTTTTTCTAGCTCTTTTAAACGTATACATGAATCTTTAAATATACCTATCTCTTTGAACAGAGATTTATTTTCCTTTTCCAGGTGACTGATTTTTACATTGTTTTCTTCTAATGTACTGTCTTTAATTTCTGCCTGCTGTCGAAGTCTCTTATTTTCTTTTTCTAATTGCTTCTTATCCTTTTCCAGTTGAGACGTCTCTTGTTCCAATAGCTTATTCTCCTTCTCCAACTGCTCGAGCCGTTTACTAGATATTTTTAATTCCTCCAGATTCTTTTGCAGAGTCTGATTTTCAGTTTCCAAATCCTGTAGTTCACTTTCCAACTGTTGAATCTTTTTGTTGCTATTTTCTAAGGCTTTCTGTAACCTTTGGTTTTCAGTATCTAAACCTTGGTAGCTGACTTCTAAGCGTTCTGTTTTCTTGAAAGAGGCTTTCATAAGCTCCAGGCCTTTCTTAAGTTGTTCCTTTTCTGTTTCCAGTTCCTTATTTTCTAACTGTAATTGTGCCATCTTCATGCTTGTACATTTTAAAGATTCAACTGTTCTTCTTAGATCTAAATTTTCTTCATCAAGTTGTGAATTCTCTTTTTCCAAGGACTCTAACTGATATGTCAGATTTTTTAAGCTATCTGT